CCCACAAGTTCTCAACATGTGTAGAATTAAATCCATTGTCCTTGTTGACCTCCAAAGTCTTATACAATCTACACCCCTAGATCCCTCAGTTCCCTCCAACCTCATCCACTCTCTCACCACACCTGCCCACCACACCACAACCACACCTGCTTCTTTTCCCACCTTGATTCCCCCAAGCATGCCTCCCACCGCAGGGCCTTTGCACCAGCTATTGCTTCTGCTCAGGTGCTCTTATAATTCTTCATTCAATTCTCTGCTTCAAGTCAGAGCCACCTGCCTACCCCCTCCTGTTGCTTACTCAGCTTTGTTTTCTGCACAGCATTCATTATCATTTGACAGCATGTCATAGATTTATTTGTGTTAACGTTCATCTCTGCTCCTACAAGGCTGTAAGCTCCGTGAGGACCGGGACTTTCCATTCACTCAGCAACTAGAACATGGTCTGGATGAGAGCTGTTCAATCAGTGTTCGTTGTATGAGTGAATTTCTCTGAGCTTCTGTTTCCCCACCTGTAAAAATGGGCATACTCACCCCATAAAGTACCTGTGAAGATTGAATAAATGCTTAAAATACATAGCTCATGGTCGGCATAATGTGGACCCTACATAAAAGAGTCTTGTCATTTTTGCATCTTACCTTCCTTCCCATGCTTGAGAATTCATGCTGCCTCCAAATCCCCTACCACCTCGAGTGTGAGTGTTTGCCAGCTTAAGCTGGCCAAGGGCTGACCATGGCTTGCCAAGGTACCGCAACCCAATGTGCCCTCTCCTTGTGCCTTGGAAGAAACTTGACAAGAAATTCACATCTATCTGATATTTTACAGGTTGCTCCAAACTGAGGTCAGTCTTCACATGCATCCAGTGAGGTCCATACCGCTAGGCCCATTTACAGATGAGGACACCAACCGTACGAGTGATTTGCCCAGGGTGGTAGGTGGCTCCGGGGCATGGCCAAATGAGACTCACCCCTGTCATAAAAGGCCAACTCTCCTGCTCTGTCTCCTCCTTCAAGATTCCCCTCCCATGGCACATGCCCTCACCTCCCACCTTTCCCTTGCGCCTGGACTGCCCTCTCTGTGCTCTAAATCCAGTCTACTCTTGCTCTGAGATCCAGCTGGCCTTCCACCTCCTCCCGGAAGCCCTCCTGACTTTCCTTCTCTCCTCCAAGCTTCACAAGTACTGGATTCCTTACTCTCTTGCCTTGTTCTTTGAGCCTCTCTGGGTTGCTTTCCCTCTTCAGCCATAACAACAGTGACACCTAATTTTTAAATGACGTTTGCTATACAGACAGACAGATCAGAGAGATATAGTGGGAAAAGTCAAAGTTCTCCTTCACTGGCCCCTGCCCAGGCTCCTTCCTCCATGGGGCAACCACTGCCAACGGTCTGGCCTGACAGCTCACAGCCCCTTCCAGGCATTTACACACCTACACTTGCCCCCTTGCCAATAGATGGGATGGTACCGCACCTGTTCTTCAACTTGATTTTTTTGACTTAGCAATATGTCTTTGTGAGTGTGCCATGTCCGCACACAGACTCCCTTCGGAAGAGCTGGAGGGCGGCGGATGGACCATGACTTATTTAACCACATCTCTCTTGATGGACATTGGGATTGCTTCCATTTTTTGCACTGTCAGAGAGCCCCCTGCCCTGAACACGCAGGCATCTCCGCAGGAGGGAGCCCCCAGGGTGGGTGGGGTTGCAGGGGAGAGGCTGCCCCTTCAAAGAGCCTGTGTCCCCCTGACCCACCTCAGCGCCCCACGCCTGATCCCATGCTCAGAATTCACAGAGCACTTCCGTAGCACTATTTTATTTCTCCTCACAAGAGCCCTTCGAGGTAGTGACATTAGTACCATCTCACAGGCGAGGACTGGAATTCAGCCCATGCTGTCACTCTCCAGAGCTCCTGCTCAGCTCCGTCCTGTGTAGACAAGACAGGTCTGCACCCCCCAGGAGTGGTGATGGGGCGTGCACTCCGGGGGTCCCAGTGGGGCCACGGGCGCCAGAGGAGCAAGGGGGTGTCGAGGTGAGGCGCTTGGTGGGGGCTCGACAGCCCGAGGAGGGGCTTTCTTCCCACTCCTTCCATGGCTCAGAGGAGCCTGGCTCAGGCTGAGAAGCAGGGCTGCTAGGTTGCCATGGAAACGGAGGGTTCCTCTCTCCCTCACAGCAGGAATCACGGTGATTGGGGGTGGGGGGTGGGAGGAGGATGTTTCCCTGGCAGCACCGCCGGGCTGGGGCTAGGAGGCCGGTCACTCTTCCCCTCCTCCTCCCTTCTTTGCCCCTCCTCACCCACTGAGCCAGCAGCCAGGAGGGGAGGCCAATGGGGGTGCTGGCCACAACCAGGAAAGGAGACTGTCACTTGGTGGTGTGGGGTGAGGTGGGGAGTCAGGGGATTCCGAAGGAAGCCACAGATGGTCCCTCCTTTTGCCTCACGGATCAGGGCCCCCTACCCAGGTGTTCTTACATGACACAGCCAAATCTCCTCTCACACCCAGAGAGTCCCACGGTCAACTCCACTCGCTAGCCCAGCCCACGCTGACCCCAGGCTCACATGCACACAAACTCCTTACACACACACACAACCACGCACATGCAGAGTCATGCACTGATACGCTCATACGTTGACAGATTTGCATGCACACTCATTCACACAAGTCACACCCACACATGCACAGCACATGCACCTGCTACCTGATACACGCATGTGATCACATACTCAAGCACGCACGCAAACACGCATCCTCTCTCTGCCTCTGTGACTGATTGTCAGTCCTGGAAGCGCCTTCCCTCCTCCGTCACATCTTCTCCTGCTCACTCCCCCTCTGCTGGGTCTCTCCCCCTCCCCCCCAACCCTCAGCCTGTCCTTGGCAGGAGCCCTGCCCTCTGGGCTCAGCCCTGGAAGGAGATGCTGTCATTTCCAAGGGAGTGGATTCTCAGACACAGACAGCATGCAGCCTTGAAAAAGCAGGAAGGGTTGGGGGGAGGGGGTGTGCAGTGTCAAGTTTGATACCCCACCCACCTCCCTCTCCTTCCGGATGAGACTCGCCTTATCCTGGCTGGATTTAAGAGCAGCAAAAGTTACCCCCCTCCCTAAAAAACTAAACAAAAACCTCCTACAAGCTTGCCACAGGAAGTAAAATTGTGAATATCTGAGTAACCATGGTTAATAATAAGAGGCAGCTAAGTGGCTATTGAGGGCTTGAGTACTAAGTACGATGCTAAGTTCACGGTTGCACTTATTCCTCATATCAACCTCTCAGGCAGGGAATATTATTTCCATTTCACAGAGAAGGAAACTAAAGCTGAGAGAGCCCCTGTAACTTCCAAGGGACAGAGCGAGGGCTGCCAGACTGCAAGCACTCCCCAACCAAGGGACCGTCAGGGCCCCGTGCACCTGCACTGTGCAAGGGCACTTACACAGGAGACCCAGGCTACCGCTGGGTGACCGGCTCCGGCGAGCAGACACCTGCTGGCTGGAACTGAATACTAGACAGCCTTCTCCTTAGGGCCCTTTGGTCCCTCTCTGTCCTCTACTCGGGGAGCTTGCACAGCTGTCTCCAGGCCCTCAAATGACACTGCTCTGTGTCCAGACTCCTTTCAGTCTCTCCTCTTTACATCACTAGCTTGCTCACCCCTCCAAGCCCGATAACTGCAAGTCAGTTCTTTTGCAGAGAATTCTTCTAGTTCCATTTCCCCTCTGGCCTACTCCAGACAGGCCCACAGAACTCTTAGGTATGAGCACAATGGCTCATCAAGGTGTTATGTTAATTTCTAAGAGGAATTCTGTTCTCCCTTGCTATTTTTCCCTCCCTGCTACACTGTGATTATACCCTCCTAGCTTTTTAGAGGTAAAATGTTGCTTTACGTATACTTACTTTTCAAAATTTTAAGTTGCCAAATTCTATGAGTTCCCCGATTTTTTTTTAAATAAAGGGGCCCAGGAACTACTGATTGCCTACTGATCTAATTCAACCCCTTATTTTCAGAGTGGAAAAAATGAATCCAAGAAAAAAAGGCCTGGCCTGTCCAAAAACTGTCTGGGAGCTGCACAGACTCTCGGGTCAAACGATCTGGTTTAAAGTCAGCCCAGCCACTGTGTGAGCACAAATGGGCAAGTCGGTAGACCCAGGAGAGCTTCAGTTTCCTCATCTGTATAATGGACCGATCTGAGAATCAAATAAGGCGCTACAAGATTCATCACTTTGAAACTATAAAATATCATCAAGCATCAGTCATCGCATAACCCTTCGGCTCTAAACCTGGAGCCAGAATCCAGGCTTTCCGCCCCATGTTCCATTATTCCTCCCTGCCGTGGGGTGTTCAAGTGGGGCAAGGGCAAGTTCACATTCAGAGACCTGGGTCAAACCCTATTCACTAGCTACGCAATGGTCCTTCATCTGAAAACAAGGCATTATAATACTTCTTCCTTGGGTGATGGGATTAACAGAGTTAATATAAGGGGGGGGGGAGCCTCTGTAGTGCCTAGCACGTGGCTGCCAGACAGTAAGTGGGGTTTTCTCCCCCACCCCTCCCCCTCAGATTTTCCTCCGGCTGTCGTTCTCTGATTTTCTTCAGTGGTGACCAATCTCTTGCTTCCTTTCAAGGAAGATTCGATTTTGGAAAGAGCCCAAGGTCACTGCGAGGCTCGTCTGGCCAGGGAGTCAGACAGTTAGTAATCAAGCCCAGGAGGAAACACCCTTCGGATGCACAGATGGGTTTCTGCGGAAGGAGGCCAGTCTTGCCGAGGGGCCCTCCATTCCACTTTGCCGGGCCCCCTCAGGAAGCTGCCGAAGAAAGCAAGTCTGCACCCTGGGGCGGGGGGGGGGGGCAGTCATCAGGTATCGGCAGCTCAGAGGGGGTGGCTCTGGCCTCTGTGACTGCCTCTCCTCCTTGCCAAGCAGATGTCAGAGCCAGAATGACACATCATCTAGTCCACTCCCCATGTTTTTAAATGAGAGACCTGAAACCCCTCCCTCCCCTACCTCTCTTCTGATGGACAGAATTGAAGCTGCATGTGCAACTCAGAAGGTCCTAGCTACGAACTGACCTTGGTGACACCCAGCCCAACCCTCTCCTTCTTCCCCACTGTGCTTTACGGAGAAGGACACGGAAGGCAGGAAGGAAACAGCCATGTGCCCACATGTCCCCAAGGTAACGACAAAGCTGCTGGGACACCCGAGTCCCCTGGCCCTTCGTCTGTGCTCTCCCACTGCCCAGAGGCCCATGTGAGGAGTTAATGACTGCTCTCCCAGCCTTTCCTGAGAATATCCACAGAAGCAGAGGAAGGAGGGCCAGCCCAGGGAGAAATGCTGAGAGGCAAGGAGGCCACCCAAGGGGGTGGCACTTCATGCTTTCATCGAGTGCTCTGTATTTAATCAGCAGAGGGACCAGCTGGGCAGCAGTTCTGCCCCCGAGTCCCAGGGTGACCGAGCAAGCCCCCTCCTCTCCAGTCTGCCGCTTCCTCATCTGGAAAAGAAAACAGATGCCGCATTGCATATACCTTGGCCCTTCATTCCATGACCCCAAGGACCACAGCCCTTAAGTTGCCACAGCAGGGTCTGATGGCCAGAGCAGCCTGGTTGCTGTGCTTCACTACCCCCCATGGCGCCCATTGGAGAAGCAGGGGCATCGGCTGCAGAATTCAACCTCAAACACCCATTTCATTGGTTTCCAGTATCATCTTTACCCTGCAGTGTCCCCCCAAAATTCTGACCCCCTTTGGCGGCAGCAGCTGGGTTCAGCCTAGGAAAACTGCGCCACCTAGGGGCACAAGGCCTCCACTGCAGCTTGGTAGGAAGGAAGATTAGACCTAGGGGTTCCTTCTACCAGAGTGGGCCCCTGACCCTCTCTGTCCTCACTACCACCTTGAGAAGGGCAGGTCGGGAATTTCAAAGATGAAGGAACTGAGAAGGTCAAACAGCAACAACGTGGCAGAATCCAAACCGGAGCTCGGCCCTCCAGGTTCTAGCGCATTTTTCTGCCTTTTCCTCCCCTGTTCCAAGGTCGTCTCTTCGTGGAGCGATACCTAACACAGAGGAGATGAGTAAGTCTTCAACAACCACTGTTTAGCAGGACAGAAATAATCTTAAATCGCTGCGAAATGTATTTTTTGCTTGTTTCAACAAGGATTTGGGGTGACATGGGGACTTGCTAGGGGCCGTGGAGTGGCCTTTAGCCTAAGCACCAGGGGCTGGGACAGACTGGGAGTCAAGTCCTGGCTCTTTCAAAGGCTCAGCTGGGCCATCCCAATCCCCCTCTGAGAGAAGTCTCTGAACTACCTAAAAAGCAGGATTGACTTTTTTTTTTAATGTTCATTTAATTTTTTAAAAATATTTTTTATTTATTTCTAGGAGAGAGAGAGAGACAGCATGAGCAGGGGAGGGTCAGAGAGAGAGGAAGTGACAGACTCTGAAATTGGCTCCAGGCTCTGAGCTGGCCGTCAGCACAGAGCCCAACGCGGGGCTTGAACCCACGGACCGCGAGATCATGACCTAAGCGAAAGTCGGATGCTTAACCGACTAAGCCACCCAGGCACCCCTATTTATAATTTTTGAGAGAAAGAGAGCAGGGAAGAGGAAGAGAGCAAGAAGGAGACACAGAATCTGAAGCCGGCTCCAGTCTGTCAGTACACAGCCCAGCGTGGGACTCAGACTCATAAACCTCGAGATCAGGACCTGAACTGAAGTCAGATGCTTAACCGCCTGAGCCGCCCAGGTGCCCCCAGGATTGACTTTTTTATACTGGGTTCTTGGGAGGATTAGCAACAAAGTATGAGAAACACCAGAATACATGGCCAGTCTCAGCCAGTGGGTCAGAGCAACCCTGTCCCTCTTGCATCCACAGAACCCACCACTGGCCTCGGGACCCAAAGGAAGAACCAAAGTCCCCACGGTGGCCTTGAGGCCACTTGGGAGCTGCCCCCCCCACCTCCCTCCCCAAGCTCCCCCTTCTCCACCCCCCACCTCACTTCCCCACACTACCACCAACCCCTTACCCTGGTCTCCTCCCTGTCCCTAAACATCCGGGTATGGTCTTTGCTGTTCCTCAGTTTGGAATGACATTGGCATCCCTGCCTTTGGGTTTTTATTCAAATGTCAGCTTCCAGAGGGGGTCTTCCCTCTGGAGAAATCTCAACACGCACCCTTGCTCCCCCCAACCCGCACGATTTTGGCTTCTCTCCTTTCACATTGATTACCACCTAACATGCTATCCCTAGGTACCTGGCTTTTCTGGTTTATTGTCTCTCTCCTGCTCCATGTGCTCACCGCTGAGTTCCTGGCATGTAATGTGCGGCTGACGATTCAAATACTACTTTTCAAAAGAAAGCAAAACCCGGAGCACCAACGCCCAAGGCCCCTCGGCAGCTCAGAACATAATGAACACATACGAGACTTTTCTGTCTATAAGATGGTCTCCAGTGACGTTTCGAGCGTTGTCCCCAGCATGCTGTGAGGGGCCGGGGAAGTGGCGGCCGCGCCTACACTGAGGATCAGGAAGCGGAGACCCTGCGGGAGGGTGGGCTTGTTCTGGGTCACACAGCCCGGGAAAAGTAGAGCCGGGGACCCCGTCTCCAGGCCCTGAGGCTGCAGAGTTGTCTCCTGCACACGTTTCGGCGGCTCCCATAGAGCGGGGAACCTGGAAGTGCTTACACTAGAGCACTTGCTTGAAGGATTGTTCTTAGCATAAGCACAGCACTTAAGAGGCCACCCAGCCAGCTTCCAGAGGGCCATCCCAAGGGAAGAGCAGAGGCTTTCTCAACATGCGTGAAAGCCCATTGGGCACCGGCTCTACAGCGAGGCCGTGAAACCAGCCCGGGGCAGAGAAAGCCCGACTGCTCCAGCCAGGGTGGCTGGCTTCCTAGAGCAGAAGCCACTTCTGGCAGGGGACTCAGGGGAGCGGATGGGTCTGGAGGCCAGCAGTCAGGTGTCCAGGAGGGAAGCACTGGAACCGGGCACGGGGATCCCGGGCTGGAACCCCAACTCCTCTGGGGACTTGCTGCACGATGGTGGCCTTGCCCCCATCGGGTCCAGCTTTCCAGAAGCCTCTCACGTGTTCTGTGCCACCCATGCTCACCTTGGGCACGGCCTGCAGCACACTGTCCTGATGCATCAGCCTCCCTCTCTCTCTAAGCCAGAGGTTCTTAACTGGGGGTAGGGAGTGTTCCCCCAATGGTATATTCGGCAATGTCTGGAGACTAGTTTGGTTGTCACGATTGAGGGGATGTTACTAGCAACTAGCAGGGAGAGGCCAGTGATGCTGCTACACGCCCCCCTCTAATGCACAGCCTCCCTAGAGAATCATCCGGCCCCAAGTGTCAGGAGAGCTAAGGTAGACAAACCTTGCTCTAGACTGAGTTCTCAGAGGGGTAAGAAATGTCAGATTCTTCTCGGCACACCCAGTGCGCAGCACGGCACGTATAGGCTGCCCATTTGCTGCCCGGTGAGGGCTGAACCAGAGACCTCTGTGTCCCTCTACCCTGCAGGTGCTCCCCGTCCCCGCCTTCTCATTGGCAAGGCCGATGGAACTGGGGTTGGAGGTCAGGAGGAGGCCCCAGGAGAAGGGGGCCAGTTCACAGGTTCCCAGTCCCCCAGCTCTGCCCAAGTCACACCTGTCTCAGAGCCAGCACTGGGCGTTAGAGTCAGACCAGCTCAGGTTTAAGTCTTCGCTTCCTACACACTCCCTGTGCCTCTGGGGTAGTCACCTGTCCCCTCTCCCTCGCCTGGAAACTGGGAGCATAGTCCAGCCCCTGCAGGACTTTTGTGAATATGTGCAAAGTGCTAGACTGGCATGAAGAGAGACCTTCCTGTTGAAGGTGACACGTTGGCTGGTTTCAGTTGGCAGAATCATGAGTTTCAAGAGCCCCACTAGAAAGGACACTTCCTGGAGAAGCTCTGCTCACCATAGCCCCAGAACAGCTATGACCATCGAGGTTACCAGTGGAGCAGGATCAGGCCCGCATCGGCCACAAGCCAGCCCCAACATGATGACTGGAGATGATGTGCAGGTACAGAAGCAGCCCTTTGAGAGCAGGGCCATGTCTATGGTGTTCAAGGGCACATGCCTGGTGCTCCCCATCATATGGTGTCTGGTGCCTCGTGGAACAGATGCATATTCATGTTGCTCCTAATGGAGCCCCTACTGTGTCCGGGCCCTGTCCTGGCCTTGTATGCGATCCCATTTCATCTCCTTAACAGCCCTGTCAGAAGGAACTATACCCCACGTTCACAGAGGAGCTGTGGTCCACAGGTGTAGCACCATGCCCAGGGTCACATAGCTCACAGGTGGCATCCCTGGGATTTGAGCTCAGGTCAATCTCTAACCAAAGCCCACCACCTTTCCACCAAACCACCCTACATCCCCTCTTTCCAGGGATCAGAAGCTCTTTTGAGAAGTAATTCCTCCAGCCCAAAGGGACTCCATGTTGCCCTGTGGAAGGAAACCAGGAGCCAGCTAGCATTCTTCCTCTTCCGTCCCCACCCCCAGTCCTAGCCAGTATGGGGGAGTCCCTGGAGCGGGGAGAGGCTTCAGCAAGCACCTGTCACCGCTCTGGGAATAGCCTCTAGAATCGAGGTCTAGGAACTTGCCCTTCCCGTCAGCAACCTCTGAACCCTATTCCAGAAGCTCTGGGATGCGCATAACAATGTGTTCAAGCTCTGCACCTCCATCTGACACTTCCTAGCCTGCCTCCTGCTGATGTCTTTGAACACCTAGCGTTCCACCTCCCAGGACAACATGCTCTTGCTAGAAGCTGCTGGCACCCTCAGGCCTCTGTGTCTGTGTTCATGCTTCTCCCTCTACCTGGGAATGCCTTTCCTGGTCTTATTGGCCAAGCAAATTCTTCTCAATCTGGGCTGGCTTATCCAAAAGACATAGCATGCATTGGGCCGCAGGTCTGAAACACTTTTAGGGACCCATGAAAATGTCTTCATTTCTTTTCAAATCAGAAAAAAATATAAACTTTCAAGTCAAAGAAAGTGTTTTAATATGTAATGTTAATAATTTGCCTTTACGCTAGTGTGGTTGCAAAATATACTTTTTTTCATGTATATTTCTGGATTTTTTAAAAAATATACTTGGGGCACGTGGGCGGTTCAGTCAGTGAAGGGTCTCACTTTGACTCAGGTCACGATCTCACAGCTCATGGGTTCAAGCCCCACATCAGGCTCTGCACTGGCAGCATGGAGCCTGCTTGGGATTCTGTCTCCCTCCCTCTCTCTCTCTCTCTCTCTCTCTCTCTCTCTGCCCCTTCCCAACTCGCGCTGTCTCAGCCTCTCTCAAAGTAAATAAATAAACTTTAAATATACTTTAAAATTCCCTCCGTGTGCATCATCTGTGCATCTAATCTTAACAATGTACATGTGCGTGCATGCATTTGTGCGTGCATGTGTGTGTGTGTGTGTGTGTGTGCATGCGTAGGAAGGGGCCCATAAAGGCAAAAGTGTCTAGGACCACAAAAATCATAATATAGGCCTGTCCTCCACCTTCAAGCCCAGCTGTTGAGTCACTTCCACTAAGAAATTGTACCATGAGTGCACCCCAAACAGAACTGTCTTCCCTCTATGTCCCCTCTATCTGTTTGCCCTGCTTAGCAGCTGGTACTATAATCGTTTGCTAACCTATTTTTCCACGAGATGGTGAGCTTCATAAGGGAAGGGGCAGGCACATCGTCGGGACTCGGCGAAGGTTACCAATTCAGTTGAGTTCCTTCGATACCAGCAAGGAACACAGGCTTCCCTTCCTTGGGTCCCAGACAACGTAGCAGGTCTCTAAGCACGTGTTCATTCAGATAGGACCATTACCTTCAGGACACTGTCCTATGCAGCAGTGAAGAAAACTTTTACGGTACTGCCCCCGTAGGGCTTATATCTGACAGCCCCTCCCCTGTCAGTCTCTGTCCCCCAACCTCTGCCATCATTTCCCCACTCTCCCCACAGGGCTCCCTGTGGGCAGAGGGGCAAGGAGAGAAAACACTGATACCGCAGCCCCCCGACCCGCACCTGCCCCAGCCCCTCAGGCCCCACCACC